CTCTGAATTAGAAACCGTGCTGAACATGTGCAGCCTGACGTCACATTCGCCTTCAGTACCCGCCACGCACTTCCTAGAATGTTTGCGGACAATCACTACGTTTTGCATCTGCCCCTCAAAACCAGCGATGCATCCCGATCCGAAGCGGCACGGGGCACAAACCAACCAATGCCAAACACCCAAATATGCAGCGTACCACCGGCCGTTGGAGTTCCCATTATAAAACATGCGCACTGATCGGTGCAACGCCTGCCGCCCTACACTAGCGCAGCTTTGTACAGGACAGGTGTCCAATGCTCGCTTCAGAAATCTGAGGCCACCCCCGTCTGCAGCGCGCAAGTACAAAAGTCAAGCTTCCAGTGGAGGCGGGCGCCCTCGCTCATAGCAACCGTGAGTCTCATTATATTACGCACAAGCTGCACGTACAAGCAAACCAGTGCCAACGTCAGCTTTAACGCTCGTGCCAAGCAGACAATGGGCAACTGTTGTTTCCGTGCTTCGAGGGCAACCACCGGCACAAGGGGCACTGTAAACAGTGTTCGTCAATCCGCCTTCCATTGACTTGCTTCCGGAAGGCAAAGCCATGGAGCTCTCCCATGCCGGCCGCATGCACAGCCACTACCGTAGAGTGGGGATATCAATGCACCCGATAAACATCCCCTTCCTTTTGCAGCCTTTTGCATCATCTCAATCTTGGAGAAAAGTGCTTGGAAACGCTCGCTGGGCACAAACGCCGTTGTCCGTTAACAGCTGTCAGTGCCAATTAGGAGTCTCTACACGGAACATCTCTCAAGCAGTGAACGAGTTTCCAAGACTGTAGCAGGCATTGCACTGCCTGTCCCGTTGCGGAACACCTCACATAGGGCACTATATCCTCCCTCGAGTTTTATAAGTGTCCATGCGGACTGCAGACGTCTTCCATCAGACAAGCAGGCACTGGAAACATACCCGTGGTCGCCAAACCCTCCGACATACAAACTGCACATTGAATGTTTGAGTGAGGCCAGGCATATCCTCGAGCGAGTTCTACCAATGTTAAAAGGGGCAATATGCATACACATAGTGCGTCGGCTTGCTTCACGCCGTCGAATGCCTCTGGTACATGCGCCTTAGCCGATGCAAGTCCCCGACTTTATTCTGCAAGCGCAAGCAGACCTTCAGCAATATTATTTGTGCCGCGGCGACCACCGTGAGGGGACTAACGCATCCGAGCCCATCACGACCAAAACTACGTTTCAGTGCACTTTATCTCAAGTACACCTGGGCAATACGTGTTCTAGTCAACGTCGTCTGCGGAGTGGAACGCACCTCCTGTCGGCTCACCAAGTATTTCTGATGGCCGCGGGGTTATAGTTTGTCGATCCCGAATGTCACAATGCTAAACATATACTTAACACCAGCGTTGACAGGAGTAGGCCGGCCACAGCTTGGTCCCTTCGCCTACTTACATAATCCTGTGATGATGCTTCTGGTTTAGCCAGATCTCGCTTCACCAGCAAGGTCCCCCAAGCACTGATATTGCTTGCTCTCTGCAAGCAAGCGACACGCTGCAGCGGAAACCGCCAAGGAACTCGCGCGCTAGTGCATATACAAGAAATGCGCAGCGCACGACTTCGGCGAAAAAACAAATTGATACTTTGAAGAGTCAATCGATGATATCCTCTCCACATTCTGCACACGGCACGTCACTGCCGCTGCACAATTGTGACTGCAGCCTTTTTCACATCAAAGCGTGAAACGATTCAGTCACAGCAGAATGAAATGACTTTTTGAACAAGTCACGGACGCTTCGCAACGCACGCAATTATGCATCCCCTTTTCGCCTCATACGCAACCTTTCATCGGTTGCAAACGGCGCTGCAGAGCTGCAGGCTGACTGCACCATAGCCCCCTGCACACAGCACTGACTCTCTGCAACATTTGGAAGCTGCCGCGGTGTTGTACGTCTGGCCCACAAACCCAACAATGCACTCCAATGAGAAGGGCCATGCAGCACAAAGCAACATATGTCAAACAACGGGCTGCGCAACGTTTTATAATGGCACGTTGCCACTATAAAACGCTCGCACTGAGCTGAGATTCATCCAGCACCCTACAGTAACGCAGCTTTGCAGCGGATGCGTAACCAGTGCCCCCATCAAACATGTGAATCCACACCCCTCTGCAACGCGCAAATACTAAAGTCAGACTTGCAGTGGAAAAAGACGCTTCTGCTGTTAACAACCGTAACGCTCCGCACGGCGTGCACAGCTTGTAGATAGATCCAAGCGAATGCCCACTTCAGCTTCACTGCGTTAGGCAGGTATCCAAACATTCACGGTTGAACAAATGCGTCTATCCACCACCACCGACATACCGAGCAAGTGTAAACAGTGGTCGAGCAAGTGTAAACAGTGGTCAGCAGCCAGCATTCTCTTCACGGGAAGGCATATGTGTGTAGTGCTGCCGTGCTCGCGGTATCCACACTTCCCAGTTCCGCAAAGTGGACAGATCAATGCACCCGATATACAGCATCTTCCCTTTAGATCATCGCCATTTAGGAGACCAGTGCTCGGACGCGCCCACAAGACGCAAACACGGTTGACTGTTTACAGCTATCAGTACCAACTAGGCATTCTATACGAAACGCTACCAAAGCTCTGAACGAGTTCCCAACAGCTTAACGAGCAATGCACAGCATCTCACGTTACCCAAGGCAACGCAAAATAGACTACATCATCCGCCGACCTCTACAAGCGACCATACGCACAGTGGACTTTCCCCAACAGACAAGCAGGAACATGACCCGTATGCGTGGTCCGCAAAGCTTTCGACGTACAAACTGCATTTCACGGCACCCCCAGGCTCTGGGTTGCGGAATGGCAATGTCAGCAGGAAATATATGCATACCCCTGGAAACCGGGTTTGCTTCACGGAGTCTAGTGCCGCTGGTATACGCTGCGAAGTCGATGCAGGGCGCAGACGATATTCTGAAAAGGCAAGAAAAACCTCATCAATATTATATTCACCGCGGGAAAACACTTCGGAGTCGCTTATGTGCCCAACCCCACCACGACCAAGACTACTTCTGAATGCAACTTACTT